GCATCTTATATCCCAAATGTGTCATTACCAGCACGGACACATAAACTCCTACCTGAAGCCTATGTTGCAGAGGGATTTCATCACTGCTCTGCCAGGTATGTGTGCACACGGTGCAGACTGCTGATTTGCTACAGAACTTGACCTTCAGCCTATTTCTCCCTTTTTTTTTTTGGTACCAAGGATCAAACTCGAGACCTTACGGTTGCGAGGCAGGCAGCAGCACCACTGAGCTAAATCCCTGGCTCAGTCTGTTTCTCTTTAGGTATTCATTGCCTTGATATTTATAAATTAAGTCCTTTATTTGTACCTTCCTCATTAAAATACAGAAGAAACCAAATTCAAATGAAGATTTTTTTTTTCCTCAGTCTTCATATCTCATGCCCTTCTGTTCACTCCACTGTTGTTTTTTTTGTTTTTTAAGTTCAGTATGGAAATTGAACCCAAGGAGCCTTTTTGAGACAGGATTTTGCTGAGTTGCCCAGGGGAGCCTCAAGCTTGCCATCTTCTTACAAGTGTGCACCACTATGCCTGGCCACTGTCCGACTTTTTACTTGTTGTATGTCCAGATAAGTTAAAATCTTTTCTGAAGTGTTATCTAATTGGAGGTGATCTTTTGTAATGTGTTTTGGTTTAGGATGTGTTAATTTATGGCTGAGGATATAACTGTAGTGTGGTTTTTTGTGAGGACATGGGTTTGCTCCAATTGAGAAAAAGAAAAGGTACCTTAATTTATGTGCTTGGATTTGGATTTCCAAATCTAAATTTTTGGAATATTTAAATTGTAGCAATGAGTAAGAAGCATTTTTGAGTATTTTTAAAAGAGAGCCTTATTAAATATGTGTATATATTTATATCTAAAATATAATACTTAAATGCTTTCTTTGAAGAGTGCTGTAATTCTCTGAATTCTTAATGGTAATTTAAAATACTACAAAGACATTAGTATTAGGGGGAAATGCTCAGGAAAATGTGAAGTTCTTCTATATGTTTAAAGGTTTTAGGGGGCCGGGGTTTGATCACTGGTACCAAAAAAAAAAAAAAAGGTTTTAGGTTAATTTGTTTGTTTTAGTTTGTTTTTACTTAGGGTTTTTGTTTTGTTTTGAGACAAGGTCTGGCTTGAACTCACTTTGTAGCCCAGGGTGGCCTCAAACTCATGGCAATCCTCCTTCCTCAGCTTCCTGTGTGCTGGGATTACAGAGGTGTGCCACCACACCCAGCTAAAAGTTTATTTTAAAAGAAAAAAGAAAAATTAGTACAAAGACGAATGAGTGATGACTAAAATATATATTGTTTTGAGAGGATTTTGCTTTTTGTTCTTGTTTTGACTGTCATATCCTGATTATAGAAGTTATAGGAAAACTAGAAAATAAAAATAGGATAAAATATAAAAATAAAATTTTCCAGAACCACACCATGCAGAGAGAATTACCATCGTGCTGTTGGTATTTTGGCATGTAGTCTGTTTTTTCAAGAGAAAGAGAGAGTGAGAGAGAGATTTCCCTGTAAGACTATGATGATAAACATTTCCTTCATGTATTCTCACCAAATACATTACGGTATTATGTTCTCACATACTTTTTAGCTGTTGCATAGTGTTCTTCACAGTGTTTTAAACATGAACACCATAACCCCTTTATTGAAAATTTAGAGTTAGTTTGGTGGCGCATGCCTGTAACCCCAGCACTCTGGAGATTTGAGGCAGGAGGATCACAGGTTCAAACCCAGCCTGGGCAGTTTAGCAAGACCCTGTCTCAAAATGAAGAACAAAGAGGAGTGGGGATGTAGCTCAGAGTGAAGGCCCCTAGGGGTCAGTCTCTACTACTGCAAGGGGAAAATGTTTAGGTCATTTCAAATTATTTTCCTATTATAAATTATGCAATAGTAGACATTCTTCTACATTAATACTATGAGCATCCTAGGGAAAAATGCTAGAGGTGGAATTACTGTATTAGAGAGTATAACATGTTTTTAATGCTTGTAATACATGCTGGCAAGCTGTGCTCTAAGAATAAACTGACTTGTAGTTCCTCAAAACTGCATATTACTACTTTGTTTAATCTTTGCCAATTATATCTCTTTGAAATTTTTATAAATTTGCAAATTAACCTTTAAAATTAAATTATAATTAGAAATAACCACTGTGAACCTGAATTTTACCTGTATCTTTTGTTAAATAGATGTTTGCCCTCTCAAAACATTGGATTTTGTTTTAGCCATGGGCGAACAATCTTCTTTGTACAATCAGAGTGTACCTATTACCGTGTTCTCCCCAGTTACTGGGACACGTTACTGTCTGCAGCTTACACCTCAGAACTGAGCAGGAGTTGATTAGACCTGTGTACTCTGCCCATATCAATCCCTAGAGTGTCCACTGACCAGCCTGTGAGGTATGAAATCATCAGTCTAATGGTTTACAGGCATTTAAACTTACAAACCTACACCATCTGGATACACTTAACAAACTACTTCCAAAAATGCCTGTAATCCATTAACGTAATGGTTTTGTTTGGAGCGTTAGGTGAAATTACTTCCAAAGACTTATTTTAGGTACATAGTAAATGATCAGGGGCAATTTGATGGCAGCTCTTAAAAGCACAGAAACTCCTTTTGGAAACTTCTGATGGTGTGGAAAGTTTTCAGTTAAAAGATTCAGGAATTCTGTCATCACTGTATTCTGTATGAAGGTGTAATTATTATATCTTTAATTGGCCCACAGTTATGTTCCTTTAATAAGAATTACGTGGATGCCTCCATCTGCTTGTGCTTCAGTATGAGCATGTGATGCCAGCCAAACAAGATCCATTTAATGGTTCCTTTCCCAAATCTGCTAGAAATGTGATAGCCATATGATTTTATAATTAGAATAATGTTTAATAAGCATATTTCGATTGTTGGTAGTGGCGCCCAAGTGTGTGTGTGTGATTCAGGAGAAAGGCACAAAATGAAATGCAGTATTCCCTTTCCTTTCAAGTTAGTGCCTGTGAGAGACAGTCTGTAAAGAAGACTAACTTTGTGTGTGTGGTGCTGGGGATTGAACCCAGTGTGTTTGCACTCCGACCTACAGTCTCAGCCCTTTTGTTTGTTTGTTTGTTTTTTTGGTACTGGGGATCAAACTCTGAACCTTGGGCTTGCAAGGCAGGAGGCGGAACCACTGAGCTGAATACCCGGCCCTATCAGTCCTTTTCATTTTTTATTCTGAAACAGGGTCTGAGTTGCCCAGGCTGGTTTCAAACTTGGAATCCTTCTGCCTCAGCCTCCCAGAGTGTAGGGATCCATAGGTATTAACCCTCGTGCCCAGCAACTTTGATCGTTTTTGTCTCACTTGTGAACTTAGAACATCAGCCAAGAGAAGATTTGTAGTGTAGTCATCCTATTTCCCATGCTTTTTTCACCAGCACCTCAGGATAGATTTGGGCAGTGGAGCACTTCTGGGAAAAGCCTCCTGTTTACACAGCCCAAGATGTGCTTGCCACTGTTTTCCACTGTACATGCAACAAAAAATCTTCTGAAATGCTAAGAACCAAGTTATCTATCAGTCTAGGATTTTTTTTCATTTTTGGTCAGTTGTTACTTAGGTTTTATAGCTGTGGCTGTTCTCAAATATAGTCTGAAATTAAACTCATCCTTGAACTTAAAAAGAGCTCTCTGTCTTCCCTCTTGAGATGTTCCTGTACCAATCTGTATTTCCTTCTCTCCTTTCTGCATGCCCAAAATTCTATAACCGAGCACATTCTGACTTAGTGTCTCTCCCCCAGTACATTTAAAGGATATTTCTTTTACTGAATAGCTTTGGAACTGCAGCAGTAATAGAAACAGAATGAGAAATGGACCTAATATAGGGATTTGGGGGGTCTGAATCACAGAGTTTGAGATGCCATCCATAGAACATCCCCTAGTGCTGAAATCCATATAGATAAATGGGAATTGTTTTCTGGACTCCTTTTTATTTTTAATGTCTTGGGGGTTTACTGGTTGTTAGCTTTAACTTTCTTATCTAAAGGAAAATGGAAAATACTGTTCATTTCTGTAACCTTATGGAAAAATCATTGACACTCATTTTACCCAAGCCTCTGTTTGAAAAAGAAACTGGACTACACTAGAGACAATGATGTACCTTTCTAGCAGAACAAGTGCTGTTTTGTTTTAAAGGACCTTTGTTAAAACAAAATCCTTCACCACCCACTCTGTTCCCCCCACCACCACCCAGCTCGGGGTTTGGATCACATTGCTGAGAACATTCTGTCATACTTGGATGCCACATCACTGTGTGCTGCTGAACTTGTGTGCAAAGAGTGGTACCGAGTGACGTCGGATGGCATGTTATGGAAGAAGCTCATTGAGAGGATGGTCAGGACAGATTCCCTGTGGAGGGGCCTGGCAGAGCGAAGAGGGTGGTAAGCACTCTAACTTTCTCCCTGTTCCAGAGCTTCCAGACCTGGCCATTTAGTATCGTGAGAAGACTTGGAAATCAGAGACCACTTATCACCTAACACAGTGGTGTTGCTGATTTATAGCTAAAAGTGTAAAGGACAGTAGTTGTTTGTGTACTCAGCAGTTCCTCTCTGACCAGCCGCTCACGATGATATCATGGAAAACTGACCGCCGTCCTGTTGGAAGTACTCTGCTCTTGGGCAGAAATTGGTGTTCTGCGAAAGAGCTGGTAGGCAGTGTATTTGGCAGGGAGATGGCTTTGAATCATACAGAAAGCCTCAGATCCAGCTTTGCCCTGAGAAAATGTAGGACAAATGATGATTTTCTCCTCCAGATGATTTCTTGCTTTAAGCCCATGCTTCTGTGTTTTATTACCTTTGTGATCCAAAATTATTTTTATGCCCAACTAGAATAAGAACTATAGGTATCAGGAAAAGTGAAATTTAGTGTAAATCATTATTTTCTTAAGATTTTCTTACTTAATTCTGAATTCCCGTTACCAGGTAGTCAGCAATCTAAAAGATACTGCCAATTTTACTGTTCTCTTAACATAATGGCATTATTTTATGAAAATTTCTAGACAGTGTCTTTCTTTACAAAATTTTCTCTCAGCACATATCTCTCAAATGTCATTATTAAAAAATCAGGTATGAATAGTTCATAAATAAAGGTAACTGGCCAGGGATTTAGCTCAGTGGTTCTGTCACCTGCCTCGAAAGCACGAGGGCCTGAGTTTGATCCCCAGCACCTAAATAAATAGCAGTATTTTAATTGATAGAAAAAATGATAGTACACATGCTCTTTCAAAATTAATTTTCTCAGTTTATATAAAGAAACACAGAACACTTAAGAATGGAGAAAACAAAAAGAATTTTAAAAATAAAAAAGAATAGAGCAAAACATAAATATATGGATTAACTTTCCTTAGAATTTTCATTAAAATATAGTTAGCACCCTTTTTATATCTTTGAAATTTATTAACATTATTTTACACAAATATATACCAAAAATTAAAAAGGAAAGAAAATTTTAGCACATAATACACAGAGTGGCTATTAAGTGTTACACCAAGTACTTTTTTGGTCATTCTACTAGGAAGACTTTAAATTTTTTTTTCTCAGATTCAATAAAGGAGCCAAATGCCAGCAATTCTTTGGCTGTGTAATAATTGTATTTAAAATGTTGTTATTTCTTCCCAAATATGTTTTTCTTACTTTTCCTTATTTCATTATGTAGAAAAACATTTTTTCTTTCATAACTGATATCACACTTTGGAAAGAAGCTCTTATAATATAACAAAGCAAGTAAGTTTAAGTTTAGTGTTGTGTGACATTTAGAATGCATCATTTTGCTAAGAATGCAAGACCACCTTTAGAAATAGACCAGGCAGTTGCTTACATGGGAAAATTTTAGGGCAACTGGGAAGATTTCTCTGTCCCTCAGGAAAAAGAAAAGAAAGTCTTCTCCAAATAACTCCTGACCTCAAATTTTAGTTGGAGAGATTCACTCCCTTAGCTATATGGTTTGGTTCCCTGTGAAATACTCTTTGTTCCCATTTGGACTGTAAATGACAGTAAACCTTCATCAGACAGTGGGAGTTGAGTAAATCCTTTTTTGAGAGAAAAGAGAACAAGAAGTGGGCAGTTCTTGCAGATGGATGTTAAGATGCCAGAGGTGGGGCCGGGGATTTAGCTCAGTGGTTCTGGCACCTGCCTCGCAAGCACAAGGTCACGAGTTCGATCCCTGGTACCAAAAAAAAAGATGGCAGTGGTAAAAATAGGCTCCACAGTTCTGTTTAGGGTTGGCACTAAGCAGCAATACCTTCTGTGTTAGCTACAGAAACAGTAAAGAAACTGTCACAGGAAAGCTGGCTTCCAGGACGTTTAAGAGGATACTCAGAGGCATACCTGAGTCGTATGCAGGGTGCAGCACTGATTGCTGCTCATTCCTGTCTCTTCAGCTCCAGAGCCCCACCCTGCTCTGTAATGAGGTCCGTCAGGGTTCTCGCTGCACCCCTTTGTCTTTGGCCACACTTGGCCTCTTAACTGGTGGTCAGCCCGTGAAATTACCAGTCCCCTGTCCACCTACTGTCAGCCTCCTGCAGCATCTCTCTGTATGAGTTGTCCTCCCTTCAGAAAATAGTAATTCTGACCAGTTCCTCATTCTTCTCTTTTTTTTTCTTTTGGTGCCAGGGATCGAACTCTGGCCCTTGCGCTTGCAAGGCAGGCGGCGAAACCACTGAGCTAAATCACCAGCCCCTTCTTCTCTTTTGAAATTATCTTACCAATGAAGTCTTTGTCACATCTTTATCCACATGCTGTCTTTGAAAGTGTCTCTTATTTTTAACCAAAAATAAACAAGTAAATACAATTTCCCAATAAAGCTTTGAGTCTCTTCAGATTTAATTTCCACTTTGCTGTTTTATTTTATATCTAGATGGATTTGACAGTCTGCCCGTAGGACATGAACTCTGCTATTTTCTCTCTTGACTAGAACTGAATATGCTTACTCTCTCTGCTCAGTGATGGTAACTCTTAAAAGTATAATGAAAGTCCATTTTCTTAATCAGCAGATCACATTTTATGATAACACTGAATTTAATATTCCACATTTATCTTGTACTCTCACTCTCACAGGTACTAGACATTTCATGTAGAATCAGTCCCTGTTGTCAGAGAGCTTCCATCATAAATGATTTTGACTCAGAACACACTGAGAGGCCAGTTTTTAAAGCATGCACATTCCTTTTTGTGGCATCTTTGATTTGAAGGAATTTGGATACCATGTTAAAGCTGGTGGGATAGAAAAACGTGATCAGAAGTTTATATGACCTCTCTTTCCCAAGTGTGTGGCAATAGTATCATGTGTTCCATATAAGAAAGCCTGTACATGATTGCCAGAGACTGAACAGAGACAAACTCAGGAAGGGTGCAGAGAAACAAAATAATTAAATGTGGGTCCTGGAGTCACACCTAAAATTTTCTCATTTAAAATCTATCATTTGCCTGCAAAGCTTTTATAGAATAAGATTATTCAGAGAAGTGTACCTTTAATCCATAATTGTTTCATAATATATCTTGTTTGTCTCCCCCTCCTGCCATGCTGAGTATTAAACCCAGGGCCTTGAACGTGTTGGGCAAGTGCTCTACAACTGAGCTACATCCCCACTACCACCCACTTTTTATTTTGAGACAGGGTCTCACTGAATTTCCCACACTTGTCTTGAACTTGGGGTCCTCCTGCCTCAGCCTCCCGAGTTACAGGGATCATAGATGAGCACCATCACAACCTGCTCAACTGCCTTTTCCTCTTTGCCATTATGTCCCGTTTTATTAGTCTGCTTTTAAAATAGTTTTTACTTCTTCATTTCAGATTTCCTTTTCTGTATTAACACAAAAGTTAGAGCCAACCACCTTCTTGATAGGAAATTTTCTCAACTAATTTTCAAGGTATAGGATAGGAAGAGGGCAGGGACAAGCACTCCTGGAGCATGGAGCAATTAATTATATTGTAATGGAGCTACAGAGGGAGGAGTGGATGGCTGGCCCAGAGGAAGCACAACTCCTCTGGTCCCAGGAAGGCACTCAGAGCTATTTCTGCCTGTCTCCACTCTGCTCGGCACATTGCCAGTGATAGCAACAGGTAGAGCGCCCACAGCGGGTTTACTGGCTTCCACACCGTGTTCTGTGAGTTCTTAACTTCAGGATGAGGAATTAAATTTTTTACCCAGCAGGAAGCGATTGCCATTTACTGATTTTTTTTTTTTGTAGCAACGATCTAACTTGGGATATGAGTATTCCAGAGATGTGCTGTCATAGGAAGGAGCTGCTAACAGATGCTGCTCCCTGGAACCAGGAAGGCAGTAAATGCCTGTGTGTGGAGGCATAGCCAGGAACACACCCGTGAAGGCCGACTCCCTGCCTTAGATGTGACGCACAGCGCTCTGGCTTCTCTTTCCATCTTTCTCCCTTCCCACTGCCAGACACTCTTGTGATCCTCTGTTTTCTGCTGAAATGCCTGGTGCAGACACAGCCTCGCTGCTCGCTGGCAGCCAGGGTGACTGGGCAGCCAGCACACCCCACCCCATGGAGCAAAGGTCTGGATGGGTGCAGTCTGGTGGAGGCATTGCTGCTGCCGTGCTTGGCTCCTCTGACACCGGCACAGCTTGACTCAAGAAAAACAAAAACATGAAGGGCCTGTACTAGGTCAGAAGCAATAGCTACCATGAACTGGCCAAGGTTTGAAAAGATGAGGCCAGTGACTGTGTGCAGAAGCCTAGCAGACCAGTAGATGAATTCTGATTACACGTGCTCTCTCTGTGGACATTATAATATCCCAGAAGGCTTGGAAGTCTGATGTTTGGCAGTAGAAATAGTCGTGTTTTACCCAAAAGCAAATCAACATCAAATCCCTTTGAGCTTAGAAAGTTACTGCTTGACACGGGGCTTCTGAGACCAGGCTCATCATCATACCTGCCCAGGTTTGTCATGAAGAGCGTGTGGGTTGATAACTGTGAGGCACTTTAAAGACATGTGCAGCTCCTTGTCAATGTGTGCCGTGGTTTTCATTGGGAAATATTTGTTTTTTAGGGGACAGTATTTATTCAAAAACAAACCTCCTGATGGCAGTGCTCCTCCCAACTCTTTCTATAGAGCACTTTATCCTAAAATTATACAGGACATTGAGGTAAGAATCTCTGTATTGGGGGGTATTTGCCAAATAGAGAACCATTGGCATTCTTCATTTTCAGTATTATTATAACAAATCCATTAAGGTTTATTGATGTGGGTTAAAGCTTTAAAAAATTAGATATTGATCAGCAGATGAGAGAGCAAAAGAGAGACCGGCTTTCTTAAATAGTAGTGAGGCCATTACATCTGAGCTCCTAAGCTGCTGCTCAGACATTGTCTGGACTGAGCCCCCGTGGGTCCAGTGGTCACCACATTTGTGAGGGGAGCGTGGGCCCTGCCTTTTTCCATGAGTACTCTAGCTGTCGTGAAGCTCTGCATGTCCCATAGGTCACTGCACTGATCTGTGGGTTACTGTCCATGTCAGAGTTTGGCTCAGGTCCATTCCTGACTACCTGCCTCTTCACCAATCATTCTTCTCAGACCATAGAATCCAACTGGAGATGTGGAAGACACAGCTTACAGAGAATCCACTGCAGAAGCGAAACAAGCAAAGGAGTTTACTGTTTACAATATGATGACCAGAAAATTGTAAGCGGCCTTCGAGACAATACAATCAAGGTAAGGTCTCTTCATTTGAGGGAGAATAGCTGAGGGAGCAAGGGTACCCACATCCGTAAAGCAGTCTGCATCATAAACCCCAAGCATAGCCAGGTGTGGTGGCCCACACCTGTAATCCCAGCACTTGGGAGGCTGAGGCAGGAGGATTGCCCTGTGTTCGAGGCCAGTCTGGGCTACATAGTGAGTTCAGACCCATCCCAGCATGGACTACAAAGGGAGACCCTGCCTCAACAAACCAAAAAAAAAAACAACCCTGAGCATTACTTGTAGGAAGTGCAAATTTTAGATTGGTTCCAGCTCCAAAGCCAAATCATTTCTTTTTATTTTTTGGTACCGGGGATTGAACTCAGGTCCTTGCGCTTACACAGCAGGCGGTGAAACCACTGAGCTAAATCCCCAGCCAAATCACTTCTTTAAAGGACTGACATTTCCCCCTCCCCATGTAAGCATTCAAATTAAGTCTCAGGGTTAACTTTCCTTCTTGAAATATACTGAGGGGCTGTAGCTCCATCCACCTGTCAACGTTTAACATTTAGCTGTGCTTGAGGAGTGCCTTGCAGGAGCTCACTGCGCATGGTTATATCATTCGTAGAGAAGGGAGAACAATTTCTTTTGTGTAATTATAGCCTGCCCATTCCTTAATGAAAAGGATAAAGTTTACATTAAACCAAAGCCACAGATATATGTGCAGAAAAGAGTGCATTCCTCACTGCTCTAGGCTTTGGCGGGGTGGGGGTCAGACACATAATAGAGCCAACAAGTCTCCACATTCCCCGTTATTATAGTGACCAAAAGGATCTTATTTGCCATCCTAGATCTGGGATAAAAGCACATTGGAATGCAAGCGAATTCTCACAGGCCACACAGGTTCTGTTCTGTGTCTCCAGTATGACGAGAGGGTCATTGTAACTGGATCATCAGATTCCACAGTCAGGTAGGAAACTTCAGATGCTCTTTTGAACTCTGAAAGAACTGATCTCTCTGTTCTTTGTCACAGACAGTAACTTTGTACATATCTACATGAAAGCAGTTCTGAAACTAAGGAAGAAAAAAGCATCAGTTCCCCGTCAGTGTGTCAATCTAGAACCTAAAACTTGGTTTAGGAATGATTGGGTGAAGTTGCCGTCTTTTTACACAATAAGAAACTACATTCTATTTTAATTTAGAGATTCTTTCCTCCGTTGTAGAAATTTACCTTTATTGTAAAGCTTGAATTCCTGACACACTTCACAAGAGAGGGAGTGAGAGAAGAGAAAGAAGCCTTCCTTTTCAGGTAGTTAGAGCTGTAGCACAGCCAAGCATCACCTCCTCAAAATGCATACAGGTGGGCAGTGCTCCGCTTTCTCCCTGCCAGCCCCTCCCCTGCTGTCCCTGCAGTTCTTCATGGTAAGCTTCACTCAGGGAAGGGACTTCTGTTTCCAGAGGCAGTAGTGATTTGATGACACAGACATTATGCTGCTGGAGTTCTGGGTACCAGCAGCACTGCTGGAAACCACTGTTTGGAATTTTGCCTTAGGCTAAAGGATTTAGCAAACATAATGCATCAAAAGTAACTTAAAAAAAAAAAACTAGTAAAAGCAGTTAACTATGTTGTTAAATTCTCTGAAGTTAAATGTTTGCCATTGGAAATTATCCTCTGTGACTAGAAAATGCTGCTCCTGGTTCTTGTCTTTCGACCTAAAGTGATAGCAAACCCAGTCCTTCCACTTGTCAACATTTAACATTTATCGGTGCTTGTGGACCTTGCAGGAGCTCAAACACTGTGCATGGTTATATCATTCATAGGGAAGGGAGAAATGATTTTTTTTTTTGCAGTGTTGGAATTGAACTTGTGTGTGGTAGGTAAGTGCTATACCACTGAGCTGTACCCACAGCTCATAAAATGACTTTTTTGTTTGTTTGTTTTGGTACCGGGGATTGAACTTGGGTCCTTGTGAAACTTTTTTTTTTTTTTTTCCTTTGGTACCGGGGATTGAACTCGGGTCCTTGCGCTTGTGCAGCAGGCGGCGAAACCACTGAGCTAAATCCCCGGCCCCACTTTTTTTTTTTTTAAAGAAGGCCAAACTGTAAAAAGAAATAAAATATTATCAAAGCCCCATTCATTATATAAAAAAATAACCAAAGTGACAACAGAAAGTCCTTAAGCTATCCAGGGGTCTCATTCTGCTTGGAAGCTGGTATTTAGGGTGGGAAGGCTATTCTTGACCTCCACCCCTGTGACGCAGAAACGGGGGCTTGGATTTAGAGTGCGGGTGATCTTGGCTCTTGAGCTATGTGACAGACCTGTAATCCTGGGTAATCAAATTCACATCTCCATTACCAAATCTGTCAGAAGCATCTTGGCCCATGTTGGTTCTAGTTCCTGAGGGTGGTTAGTGGGTAGGCACCAATGCTGCTGTTACTAATCAGACTCCTCAATTAAAATATATGTCCTTAAGTGTGTCAAATTGACACCATTTATAATAATCTTGAACACTGGGCCAAATTATCAGGCACTGGTGGCTGCCACCTCATCTTTGCACTCCGTAACTTGCCCAGATTTCAAGTTTTAAGGGTCCACCTGGCAGCACCCCATCCCCATCTTTCTCCTGTTCTCCCTGTCCAGCCTCTCTCTCTGTCCTGTTTCCGCATGGCCCATCATTACTGTCCATAGTGCTGCAAAAGAAGGTTAGAATATAATACTTCCTATGAAAGTATGGGAGGTGGGTGGGGAGCGTTACATTCAAATATGGGAGATGTGTTGTAGCTGCAGTACCTTCTAACTCTCAGACGTCCCTTCCAGGGTATGGGATGTGAATACAGGTGAAATGCTTAACACATTGATTCACCATTGCGAAGCAGTTCTGCACCTGCGTTTCAATAATGGCATGATGGTGACCTGCTCCAAAGATCGTTCCATTGCTGTATGGGATATGGCCTCCCCAACTGACATCACCCTCCGGAGGGTTCTGGTCGGACACCGAGCCGCTGTCAACGTCGTAGACTTTGATGACAAGTACATTGTTTCTGCATCTGGGGATAGAACTATAAAGGTAGTAGGGCATTTTTCAGTAAGTCTCCATTTAGCGTTCATGTAGAAATTTAGCAATGACAAGTGCCTGTGTAGACATCATCGTAGTGATGTAGTGATGCCATGATCACTGATACTTTATCCCTGTAAATACTGGTGGTGGCCTGGAGATAGGGCTCGGTGCTAAAACACTTGCTTGGCATTCATAAGGCCCTAGGTTCAGCCCCCAGCACCACAAAATAATAATGGTGAGCATGAAAAGGGCAGGGGTAAATCTAAGTTGAAGAAAATGTTATCTGTAAGACCAAACAAACCCCATAAATCAGTTTGAAGAATACCCAGGTGATCTCAGCCAGCTTCTAATTAACCCAGTATTACCATGAATTAAACAATTTATTTGCTTTGGTTTATATGTTTGAGAAGTGGACATCTGCTAGTGGCCCTAAGACTCCATTTGCCATACATTTTACCAGTAAAAGCACCAAATCACTACTCAATGTCATTTACCATCTCAGGTATGGAACACAAGTACTTGTGAATTTGTAAGGACCCTAAATGGACACAAACGAGGCATCGCCTGTTTGCAGTACAGAGACAGGCTGGTGGTGAGTGGCTCATCTGACAACACAATCAGGTGAGCAGCAGGTGCCCCTTCCAAGAATAAACCAGTATTGCTCCGTTGCTGTTTGAAAACAGATTAGTCAGTTCTTCGTTATGTTTATGGTTTTTTTTTTTGCTACCAGGGATCGAACTCGGGACCTTGTGCTTGTGAGGCAGGCGCCAGAACCGCTGAGCTAAATCCCCAGCCCTCCCATAATAGTTTTATCACCAGGTAGACCTGGTCTGGAGGTACTGGTCAGTAAAGAAGTAAGCAACAAAGACAAACAGATGGAGATCATAGGCCATTCTTTTAGATTTGTCTGCAGTTGAAAAGTGCTAATAAATAGCTAATACATGGTATTAATAAATAGCCTATTTTGTCACTGTTTTTTTAAAAAATAATTTGTTTCCTTACTAAAAAGCATCTGCTTTTGTCTTAGCATTACATAATTGGCCAGAGAGTTACCTGTATGAAGATTCTATGTGTTGGAATACTTTTTGTGTTTTTCCCCTTCACAAAAATGAATGATACAGATATGATTAGAATTTGGAAGATGTATTCATCCTCTCCTTTTCTTCAGTAATTACTGAGAGGATGAAGAGACTTATTTAAAAAGTCAGGCTAAGAGTAAAGCAAAACAGCTATTGTTATATCTAAGAAAATTACCATTAATCACTTAGATTGGTCTGAAAGCAGACTGCTTTTTAAATTATTACACAAAACTTCTTGAAAACTAGCTTTGCATTTCCTTTATATGAAAGAAGACCATCGTGGTGGTGAGTGAAAGCAGAGCATCCTCAGAGCCGGAGGCGGAGGCATTGTGGGGACTGGAGGGCACTGACCCTGGGCCCCATTCCTACCAGTGATTTTGAGAAGCATCACTCTCCAGTGCTGGTCATTTCCTCCTGAGAAACTGTGTGCATTGAGTTTGTCCCTTTCTGCCTGGGAGAACCTGGTCATAGAATTATATAAAGCATTGTGCTTTAAAAACACATACTACATATGAACTTAAATCATATACTTTTTCCCGCCCAAGCTATATGACAGAAAGAAAATACATTACATCGAAAACAATACATTTTTGTATGAGTGGTGATTGATCTTATTTTTGTGGGTTCTTTTTTTTTTTTTTGGTACCAGGGATTAAACTTGGGTCCTTGTGCTTGCAAGGCAGGCGGCGCAGCCACTGAGCTAAATCCCCAGCCCTTTTGTGGGTTTTTGAAAGGCATGTGAAGTACGTTATTGTAACACATCAAGCTTAGAAAAGAATTCATGAAAATTCATATGACTCAATTTTCTCTTCTAGATTATGGGACATAGAATGTGGTGCATGTTTACGAGTGTTAGAAGGCCATGAGGAACTGGTGCGATGCATCCGATTTGATAACAAGAGGATAGTCAGCGGGGCCTATGATGGGTGAGTTTGCTAATAAGGTTAAAAAACAAATACAAGACCTGGGGTGTAGGAGTACAGCTCAGTGGTAGAGTGTATGTTTTGCATGTATGAGGCCCTGGGTTCAGTCACACACACACAGTCTACATCTTAATTCCTAGTTTACAACCTTATTTCTAAACACTAACATTTCACAAAAACTATCTAATACAATATTTCTTCAGTCTACATGTTCACCTCTCCTCTGTTTATTCTTTTCTAAAATATTTTTCCAAGTCATTTTATTGGACTTTTTGCATATGAATGTCATTATTATTTTAGTTATTTGTTTGTGATTTTGTCTGTTTTGTTCTATAAAGCAAAGAACCAAACATACCCAGTTTGCCAGGACGTGCATGTAACATGGTAACTTCTAGTAAATCACGCACACTGGAGGGCAGGACCTTTGAGGCTTAGTGTGTGGTAGGGTCTGGGATTTTGATCTCTGATTTTAATGTTTCTGAGAGATTCCTAAAAGTTCAGCTCTCTTGTCGTCACATCTCTTGGAGCATTCCATTTATAATGAATTCAGTAGTCTTCAGAATTCCTCAGTCTAATTTCCAGAAGGTTTAGAATCTATTCTTGTTGTGAATGGATCACATGTCCAACAACACTAGGTCCCGAGCAAGCTTATACAAAAATGTCTTCTAAAAGACACTGTCATTTCTTTTTCTTGTCCGGGTGCCTTTTTTTTTTTTTCGGGTCCCTTATTTATGGTGGGAATAGGGGGAATGGAAAGCTACTGTTCAAATTCTGGCAGCTTTTTAGATTCTAGAAACCCAGAACATTAATTTAGTTCCTGAGTTGACTGTTAGCAACACATTAAAACCAACTCAAGCAGCAGGAAATGGGCCTGGCGCTTCCTCTGCTCAGGGTTAGCCTTGGGGAACTCTTTGGGCTGTGTGACATGTTCCAGACAGGCCAGTGTTTTATTTTCTGGCTTTGATCTGTCTCTACTTTGGGGGGTTTTTATCTTTATATAATTGAGGAAATGTAGCCTATACAATGGTTCCTCAGTTTACGAACTGAATTCTTTCCACATTTGTGGTCACAAACTGAATTGGACGAGAACCAAATTAAATTTCTTCATAAGGTCAACATTGAACCTAACCAGTGAATTTGATTCATTACTCATCCAATTCAGTTGTGATCAGAATCATGGAAAGAATTAAGCTTGTGAACTGAAGTACCATGATTTTCAGAAGGGCCTAACTTTTCTAAACTTCAATCAAAATGTGAAGGTTTGCTTGCATAAAGCCCAGAGCTCTTAAATGGATCCCAGAGCCCTGCTGCTTGAGATACAGGCCATTCTTAGCCTAGAAAGAGGATGACTGAGAGATGTAAATTCCTAGGTCTGAGTAATCTCTTGTCATTAAGAGTTTTAGTGGCCAAACATGGTAGAGCATACCTGTAATCCCAGCCACTTCGAAGCCAGCCTGGGCAATTTAGTGAGACCCTGTCTCAAACAAACGAAACCAGCTGTAGCCCAGTCATAGAGAGTTTGCACAAATGCAGTGGGTTTAATCTCTAGCACTGAAAAAAAAGGGGGGTGGGGAGCGGGTCTGGTGTACAAGATCTCCACTTGGCTCCAGAGTATGCTGTAACTTTACCATTAGCTGTCTTCAGTTTGGGTAAAGCTAACCTGTTTCTCGTTTTAAGGTTAATCGTGTACATTTTCTCCCAGTTAATACCAATAACCTCTACCCAAGAATGAATACAAGGACCAGTTTTCCAAAACAAGATACATTCCTGTGAACTGGATTCATAACATAAACTCTATTCACTAGTCATATGTATTTCCTTGAGTTGTTGCTGTTCGTAACTGTGCTTTTGACTGAGATTTTGGTCCCCTTTTTGATCCTTAGAAAAATTAAAGTGTGGGATCTTTTGGCTGCTTTGGATCCCCGTGCTCCTGCAGGGACTCTCTGCCTGCGGACCCTTGTGGTAAGAGCCTTGTGGTTAGAGGGGTTGGGAGGTCAGTAGATTAAATGTTGATGTGCTGTGCATGTAGATCTGGGTCAGATGGAGTCTCACCCAACCTGCTAAGTGAAGAGGCTGCTGGTACGTGTCAGGAAAGAGTGTCTGTATAGTGCCTTCATTCAGAAGTGCTTTAGAGACTACATGGCGAGGAATGTGGCAGCTGTTTAACAGCTGCACAGCAGCTCTACAACAGTGTAGTACAGGAAGTGAATAAGAATCCTGTATCCACCAGAAGTCGCAGGGGTACTAAGGGAGAAGGAATGTAATTACTCAAATTGGAACTTGTCCAGAATCTGAGGACCTGCACACCTGTGCCTGCAGAAAGTACTCTGGGAATCTTGAGAACCTCGTGGTCAGCTGCTCAGTTCTGTACCTGAGCAGCCGGACCAGATCTGATGCTCCCTGTGTGCACCTCTAAACCCCGAGGCACGGGGAAGGAGTCTAGAGGCGCACTGTGAGCAGCAGAGCACTTGGCATTTGCCTAGCAGCCTCGAGCCTTTGGGCCCTGGGTTAAATCCCCAGCGCTGCAAAACGTAAGGAAGAGGGACATCGCTTCCACAAGCAGTAAGTCCTTCCCCATCGTGCCAGCCAGCAGCCCATATTGACAGCTGCTGCTTCACTTGGGAGCTGAGGTGGGCACTGAGGTGGCAGAATCCTCTGCACAACTCCAGGAAAGATGGGCAGGCATTCGAGGCTTAGTGTTCTGCACCTGGCTCTTAGCATTTCAGTGTCCTTGGCTCAGAAGGACACGGGTTGGAAGCATATTCTCTCAGCAGTGCACTACTTTCTGTGTATTTCACACATGTCCTTCAAGATGTGTCCTGTCATCCATTTATAATTAATCTGACAAGTCCACAGTTTAGATTTGTAATCTGCATGCAGGAAAACCGACCCTTTTCAGTATGCTTCTGTGAACTTTGCAGTTGTGTAACTGTTACTGCAACCAAGATACAGAACGTTTCTGTCCTGCCAAGCTTTGTTGGGCTCCTGCGTATCCCCACCTCCTAGCAACTGTTAGCAACCGTTCGACTGTCACTGTAGTTGTGCTTTCTTATGAATGTCCTAGAAATCAGACAGTATGTATCCTTTTTAAACTTCATTGAAGATTTATCCACATTCCTGTATGTGCTGGTACTTTGCTTCTTTTTATCCCTGAGTAGTATTCTAGTGGGGGATGGGTGAACCAATTTGTTTATTGGTTCACAGTTTTGAGAACTTTTGGGATGTTTCTAGTTCTTGTTGGTTCTGAGTAAACCCACTGAAAATTGTCCTCTACAGATTTCTGTGTCCATACTGTTTTCATTTCTCTTGGGTGAATATCTAGGAGTACAATTTCTGGATCCAGTGGTAGATGTGTGTTTAAATTTGAGAGAAACTACCAGGCTGCTTCCCAAAGTGGCATTTTGGATTTTTCAAAGGCAAAACATTTTGCATTTTTACTAACTGTATGGGAGTTCTCTTTTTCCATGTCTTTGCCAGCACTTGGTATTGTCAGTCTTTGAACAAATGACAACCATGTGAGTGAATCTGCCGTTTGCATTTCTGTGATAACTAGTGATGTTGAACATCTTTTCATACGCTTATCTTTTGAGACATGTGTGTTCAGATCTTGGAACCTGTTTGTCTGTCAGTTTTGCTGTACTGGGCACTGAACCCAGGGCCTTCGCACTGAGCTACATCCCTATCCCACTTGGATCCTCCTGTCTCAGCCTCCCAGAGCACTTGGATTACAGATATGTGCCACCACACCCAGTTCATTAAGTTGGTTTTTATTTTTTTATTTTTTATTTTTTGTACCAGGTATCAAACTTGGGTTCTTGCGCTTGCAAGGCAGGCGACGGAACCGCTGAGCTAAACCACCGGCTCCATTAAGTTGGTTTTTAAAAACAGATTTTTGAAGTCAAATTAGCATACATTAAAATAGACATATTGAAACTCCACAGCATAATAAACTTTGACGCGAGTACAGTACACCGGTGAAGCTGTGTGTGACAGTCCTCACCCCTGGTAATTCCTTCTTCCCATCGCACCTGCCTCCATGCCCCCCTCTAGGCAGCCCCAATCTGCTTCCGTCAACACTGATTAGTTTGCATTTTCTATACTGTATCGTATGGCCTCTTTTTTGCCTCTTTTCACTGACAATAAGTTATTTTGATATTTAGCCTGTTCTTGATGTCGATCAATAGTTTCTTTTTAAAAAGTTGCTGAGTAGGCAGGATGTGGTGGTGCACACCTGGAACCCAGCGCTCTGGGAGGCTGAGGCAGGAGGGTCCCAAGTTTTGGCCCAGCCTGGCTAACTTAGAAAGGGAGCAAAGACCCTGTCTCAAAATTTTTTTAAAGGTCTGGAGATATAACTCAGTGCAGAGGTCCTGGGTTCAACCCCAGTACCTCCCTCCTCCGCCCAAAAAAGTTTCTGCAAACATTTATAGACAAGTCTTTTAATCCATTCTGACCATCTCTGCCTTAATGGACATGTATAGAACATTTATGTTTAATGTAATTTTCATATGATTTTTAATCTATCATGTTGCTATTTTCTACTTTTCTTTATTTTTCCCCATTTTGTTCTTTTGAAGGATTATTTTTGAGAATTTTGTGTTACCTCAGTTTCTGAGTTATTAGTTGCATCCATGCAGTATTCTCAGGTGGTGACCTAGAGCATATGAACCTTTATTAAGGTATACTACCAGGTGGCATTGTACCACTTGGTGTGTAATGGAAGAAATTTAAGACACTGTTGCCATTGCTTCCCTCCCCTACTCTGTGTATCACTGGCATAGACTGGGCTGGGACCCACCCAGCTCACTGGTGGAGCACAGTCCTGGCATGAGGGTTCTGCACTGCAGTCAGCTGACCATGGCCTGAAACCTTTGAAACCATCAAGTAAAATAAATCTTTCCCTTTAAATTGTTTTTATCACGTTTTCACCATTGGTCAGAGCGATGCAAAGGTGGTTAACATAAAGCGTTAGCACATTAATACCCCGTGTTAACCTTAGACTGTAGAGAGCTGGAGGACCCGTACTGATCTCAGAGCGGCCTGCAGAGCAGGGACTGTCCTCGGGGTGAAGGGGGCATTGTGTGTGATGACAGGGCCAGCTCACCAAGAAGATGAATCTCCTCCGTGTGTGCACACCTAACAGCATCAAAGTGTATCAGGCAAGAAAGTGACAGTGCTGCCAGGAGAAACGGATGAACCCACTCTTCTTTAATAGTTGGAGACTTTAATGCCCTATCAATAATGGACAGATCTAGAGGCAACAGGATCAGTAAGGAGCAGAGCTCAGCAGCGCCATCCCACGGGCTGTAATTGCTGTCTGTAGAACACTTCATCCAACAGTAGCAGATGCACATTCCTCTCAAGCTGCCATGGACTGTTCACCAAGATACACTACAGCCGGGGCCACAAAACATACCGTAAAAAATTTGAAAACACAAAAATGAGCCAGTGGAATTAAAACTAGAGACCAGTAACAGAAAAGTAGCTGGAAAATCTCAAAATAACTCACTTTTTGTCAGGCATGGTGGCACATACCTGTAATCCCAGCTACTTGGGAAGCCAAGGCAGGAGGTCACACATTCAAGGCTGCCCTGGGCAATATAGCAAGTCCCTATCTCAAAGAAAGAGTTGGGGAGCCGGGGATTTAGCTCAGTGGTTCCACCACCGCCTGCCTCGCAAGCTCAAGGTCCCGAGTTCAATCCCCAGTACCAAAAGAAAGAAAAAGTAGAGGCTGGAGACCTTGCCCAGTGAGAAGGTCCTGGGTTCAACCCCCAGTACCCACTAAATTAAATGAATGAATGAGTAAATGGGCTGAGGATGTTGCTCTGTGATAGAGCATTCATAGAGCTCTTGTGCAAGACACTGGGTTCAGTCCTCAGCATAGCTAATTAAGTTTTAAAATGGTCAGTACTATTTTATATTGGTTGCCAAACAACTGCATATTAAATACGACTATAAATAGGCTAAGGCAGGAGGATTGCCATGAGTTTGAGGCCAGCCTGGGCTACACAGTGGGTTCAAAGCCAGCCTGGACTACATAGCGAGACCCTGTTTCAAAAAAATGAAACAGAAAAATTGTTGATACAATGAAGTAACTCTAAAAAAATTTTTTTTCAGGCTGGGTATGGTGGTGCATGCTTGTGTTCTCAGCACTCAGGAGGCTGAGGCAGGAGGATCAGCACAAGTTTGAGGCCAGCCTGGGCTACATAGTGAGTTCAAGGCCAGCCTGAACTACATAGCGAGACCCTGTCTCCAAAAGAAAAATCTTTCACAAAATATGAGCAAAGTTAATCCAATAAGTACAGTATAAAGAAAATTATACACTGTGACCAAATGCAATTTCAAATGCAGTACACAAGACTGAATTTTTGGAGTAGCATTAAAGAAATCAGTTAATATAATCTATCACAGTGGTGGCAAACCTATGGCACACATGCCACAGTGGGTTGTTTGTGTCATTGAAAGCCCTAAAAGGTTTGCCATCCCTAATCTATCACATCAACAGGCCAAAGGAGAAAATCGCACGATTAGATCAATAAATGCAGAGCCAGATGTGGTGGCACACACTTGTTAGTACTAGCTGGGGAGGCTAAAGCAGGAGAATCCTAAGTTTGAGGCCAACCTGGGCAACTTAGCAAGACCCTGTCTGAAAAATAAAAAGAGCTAGGGCCAGGGATTTAGCTCAGTGGCACCATGCCTGCCTTGCAAGTGCAAGGTCCTGAGTTCGATCCCCGGTACCAAAAAAAACCCCAAAATAAATAAAGCTAGTGGTGTGGCCCAGTGGTAGAGCACTCCTGAATTTAATCCCCAGTGCAATTAATTAGTTCAGTAAGAGCATTTGACAGGTTTCAACAGATTAAAAACTCCAAACAGGGCTGGGGATTTACCTCAGTGGTTTCGCCACCTGCTGTGCAAGCGCAAGGACCAGAGTTTGATCCCCGGTACCAAAAAAAAAAAACCTAAACAAGCTAGAAATAGAGGGGGAACTTCCTCAGTTTCATGAAGGAAAGTGCAAATTAAGACTCTAATAAGGGGCTGGGGATTTAGCTCAGTGGTTCCGCCGCCTGCCTTGCAAGGACAAGGTCCTGAGTTCGATCCCCCGGTACCAAAGAAAAAGACTATAATAAAATACACAAACCCGCTAGAATTTAAAAGATCAGCAGAGTCAAGTGTTGGTGAAGAATTGCTGCAGCTGACACGCATACACTGCTGGGAGGGTAGAGTGGCTCAGCTTTCGATGCTGTCCAGCATGGCCGCTGCAGCCAGCTCCTCCTCCTCCGGGGCAGATAAGTGTATGTACCCTGAACTCAGAAGGGCTGTGATCATGTTTGCAGCAGCTTTGTTCATAATAGCCTGAAACTGTTCGAAGCCTATATGTCCACTAACAGGAAGAAAGATAAATTGTCATGTGTTCATACACTGAAATACCAACCAGCAACAAGAAAAGAATGTTGGCTGTGATCCCAGCTACGCAGGGAGCTGAGGCAGGAGGGCTGCCAGCTCAGGGCCAGCTGGGCAATTTAGGGCCTGTCTCAAAATTGAGATAATAATGCCAGTCATAGTGGCACATCCCTGTAATCCCAGTACTGAAGAGGCTGAGGCAGGAGGATTGCGGTGAGTTCAAGGCCAGCCTGAACTAATAGTGAGACCCTGTCTCAAAAAATAAATTAATTCATTAAAATAATAAAAATTCTAGGAATGTAGCTCACTGGTGGAGTGTTTGCCTGGCATGTTCAAGACCATGGGTTCAATCCCCAGCACTGCCCAAAAGTGAACACCTGTTTTACATGTAGTAAAGATTACAGAGAGGAATCTTACAAGTACATGTTGAGTAAAGGAAGACAGGACGAAAGAATATATACTGTATGGTGTATTTATGTAAAATTCAAAACTAGGCTGCCCGAGTGTGAGACCGGCTTTGGCATCTTAGCAGAACATTGACTCCAAGAAACAAAGGGGTAAGAGGTATTGGGATGTAACACAGTGCAGAGGCCTTGTCAGTCCCTGGTACCACATACACACACACACACACACGAATAGGCAAAACAAATTAACAGTAATAGCATTAGTGCGATGGTAATACTGACTACTAACGGGCACACGAGTGCCTCCTAGGGTATTGGAAACAGTCTACATCTTAGGGCCGTGGTTGCTACCTGTCACGTGCTAGGCCTGGCTTGTCCCCACTTAGGAGAGCCAGCTGGCTGACTCTGAACCATGAAAATCTGTGCAGCACGTGGTACTACAAGTTGAGGAAGTTTAATTGGTAACATTTTTCAGCAGACCAGCCCTTGGCCTCTGATTGTAGATGCAGCCTAGAGACACAGAGAGGAGATGAGGTGTGGGCGTCCTGAGGAACCTCTTCTCCAGACTAGGCCGAGGAGAATTGGCAGTGAGAAGCAGCGTGCTATGTTCCATGCCTTGCCTAAAGAATGTCACTTTATTTTGTCCATGAAGTCAGCTCCCCAGTATTTGACTTGTCCATCCTGCCTTTAGCAAATTAACTTTTCCTTCTGTGTTTTTGAAACAATAAAATGGTGGGGGGACAGTGAGCAGCACACCACACACGGCCTGTCACGGGCTCCTTTTGACCTGTTGCCAGGTTTGTGTCCTTTTGGTTTTGAGCAGCTCACATTCTTTTTTTTTCTTTTTTTTTTTGGCACCGGGGATTGAACTCGGGTCCTTGCGCTTGCGAGGCAGGCAGCAGAACCACTGAGCTGAATCCCCGGCTAGCAGCTCACATTCTCACCCTTTTGTTCCGGCTTCTTCAGGAGCATTCTGGAAGAGTTTTCCGACTCCAGTTTGATGAATTCCAGATCGTCAGCAGTTCGCATGATGACACCATCCTCATCTGGGACTTCCTCGATGACCCGGCCACCCAAGCCGAGCGCCCCCACTCCCCGTCGAGAACGTACACCTACATCTCCAGATAAACCTCCACCGGGCTCGTGCTGGCCCAGGTAGGAGTGCCGTGTGGGATCGCCAGTCCCTGCAGCTTTCCCTTTCTCCGGCCCTTTTACCTCACCGAGCCCCGTGCATCGGGAGAGGCACAGTGTGAGGCCAGGCTGCCCCAGCGGGGCCACTTTCACCCACGCATCCAGCCTGCACTCCAGGGCTTTTGGGGTTCTCCATTTCTGCCCTGGTAAGATTGCTTTGAAAATAAAATGAGGTCTGAATCTGCTTGAAAGCTGAGTCATGACCCAGAGCTTGCAGTGCCCGGATCACACAGGTGCGTGCAGTGGAGACCCTGTAAGCCCAGCTGATTTTTGACATGTGCCTCCGTGGAGGCGCTCAGTGAAGTCCTGCCCCATCCCAGCCCCTTGCTGTTGCTGCCCTTAGGTTATAAAAGGCAGCCGGTGCAGCCTCACCCACTCCCTACCCCTCCCACGGAGATGTCTGCAGTAGCTCTAAAGCCAGTGGAAACTCACACACACCCTCTTAGGGTCCCAGTCCCCTTGGAAGCAGGGCCCCTGCAATACCCGGGCCGCCTGTCCTGGGCACATTCCACACACACCTGCCACCCTCACTGCTCCCTGTACACTTGGTTACCTCGCACTTGGAGGGCTCCCAGCAGTGCCATGGAGTGTTGCTGAAGCACACACACTCCGCTTGTATCTGTGGTCATCCTCCTGAGGGGGAGATGCTCATGCCTGTCGACTGCCCAGACCGAGTTTCCTGATGAGTGCAGTGAGTGCTGCGAAAGATGGCTGTTTGTAACATTCTTACCTGCCACATAATAAGCCCTCAGCAAAAATGGCTAATTACTCTTGTTCCTGTTTTTGAGGCCGGGTCTCACCATGTATCTCAGGCTCGCCTTGAACTCACTATGTAGCGCAGGCTGGTCTCAGCCTCCCGAGTGCTGTCCAGCTGCTGATTGTTATTACTATTGTAATTATTTTGTAACTATTCCCACTTGGTACCATAGTTTTCTCTTCCTTAGACCTAAGTATTTTGCCTGGTTTTTTAAAGGGGGAGTGCCAGGTATTAAATCCAGGGCCTTGGGCATGCTGAACCCATGTCCTACCACTGCAGTATACCCCTTGCCCACATCTTTATTACTCTCCCAAACTCTGGTTGCTTATGCCTCCTTCCTCCCCTCACCCCTAAAACAGATATCCCCCAAGAGTGTCTCAGATGCTTCTGACTTGTCTGAGCTCCCTACTTTGGCTAATTTGTCTTTTCCTAAAGCTTGAAGCTCTTGTTTCACATTTATATGTACATAACTCAAATGCATGTCTCCATCCCACTGGCTCTGCCTTAACTCCAGCACCACCTGCCCATCTGTGCTTGATGTCCCGCCTTGCCTTCCAGAGTTTCCGCCCACACTTCCTAGGCCAGACACCAGGCGGCCTTCCCCAACCCCTCCCCTCTGAGTGGCAGAAGCTCAGAGCCCCTGCCGACCTGCCAGCAGTGAAAGCTTGGCAGGCACTGCCCTGGCCTGCAGACATAGCGCCGCTCTGCTCGCACACTGTGGTAGCAGCCTGAGTGTCAGCAGCCTTGCCCTGTAGAAGTAGGGGCTAATGACTGTTTGGTGTTTCCACACAGGACTCATTAAAGTTGCAGTATTTAATGTATCTGCAAAGACCAGGACAAGCAACACAGCAACAATGAACTCCTCCTGCCTGGATCCCAGGACCTGGGAGGGGCAGGGCTTCGAGGCTCCTGGTGGGACACAGTTGGGCTGCAGCTGACCAGGACAGTCTGTTCGGCACGGCCAGCTGCTTCATGCTGCTATCGGAAGATGTCTTCTGTCCCTCGTGAATGAGGGGGACTTGCGCCCCCCACACACACCCACTTCTCCTCCAGTGGGTTCCAGACAGAGATGGGTCATAAATATATTTAGGGTTTGGGCAGAATCTCTCTTGTTTTGCTGTTAAGCAGAAGAACTAATTTCCCCATATAGCCCACTTCTAGGGCCAGGAGGATGCAGCTTCTGGGCAGGCAGAGCCCAGTGTAGCCCTGCTGACTGCAGGCCCGGCGCCTGGCCATAGCAGAGGAGACGGGCGGCCCCTGACCGCCTCGGAGGGAGGAAGAGAAGGCGAATGCACACCCGGAGACCTGAGCCTCTGACTCCACTGCTGCCGCCCCTCGCCCCGAAGGCCTCAGCCCGAGGAGCTGTGTGATGAGTGTACCCCAGTCAGCACGGGGCGGGTCCACCAGAAGCTGCCCATCTGGAAGAGGCACGCATGCAGTCACCATCGAGCCAGCCTTTGGAGCCGGGCCGGCGACCCTAAGGCTGCAGTGGATTCTCAGATGTCATGCCCTTGTCACATTCAAGGCTCCTCCTCCTCTCCTTCGTCCCCCACCCTGGGCTCCATCAGTGGCTGCATCTTTTTGGACTCAGCAGTCTCCTGGATTCCATGTAGAGTGTGGAAAGGAGTTGCTGATTGCGCTTCCTCTCATTAACAATTAGACGTGTAATAAAAAGCATTGTACTTCATCTCAAGTCCCTGGTGAGGCCCAGCCCACAGAAAGGCTCGAGGTGGCCGGAGTAGCTGCCCAGTGCATCCCGAGTAGTGCCTCGTGTCTGTTTCCTCCTCACAGCCCGTGAGCACCCAGGCACCCAAAACTGCCAAGACCCCCAGAGGCGCTTAGGAGGCGGCCAGAGGTGAAAGTGGCTTTCTTTCCCTGTCTTGGAGATTGATTCACCGTCCAGCCTTGCATTACAGAGGCCTCCTTCTGCTTCTCCCAAAGCCGCCATTTGCAAAGGGCAGCGTTGCCGGAGAAGGGATCAGGTTCAGGCTTGGCACACAGGGTTTATCAGTGGGACAGAAATAGCCTCCTCTTTCCTCTTCCCTCCTGGCTTTAATTTGCTCTCTCCTTCCCCACCAGTAAAATTTCTCTGGCAGCTGAAGAACATAAACCAATGGACACTGCAGGGCAAGCTAACCCGGCCCCTTGGAAAACAGCTGTGGGCTTCCTAACCCGTGGCTGCAGTGCAAGGGGGCATGTGCCACGCCAGCCTCAGAGCATGGTGACTGCCCGGCTGGGGACACCCACGTACCGAGACCACACAATCTCCTGTTTTCCTTGGAGGCTGAGCACTGAGGCGCCTCATGCCTACTCCTACCCCATGCAGTTGAGCCTAAAAAACCCCTTCTCACACAGCTGCTGCAAGAGCCGCAGGCAGGACCAGGTGCAGGGGGCTCCAGCCAGGTGCCGCTGGCCCGACAGAGTGAGGCGTCCTCGCCCTCCTCCGGTTCACAGGTGCGGCCCCTTCTCTGAGCCCTGACCAAGAGTATGTGTGGGGAGGGGCTGTGCATGTGCAGTTTCCCCGTCCTGCTTTACTAAAGTCTCAATCACATTCAGAACTTACTTTCTCGGTGTAAGTCCCTTCCCAGCTACCAGAATGCTACAAAGAAGTGTTTGCTCCTCCCCCTTCAGGCTTCCTTGTCTGTTACGCCGAGTACTGATGATGGCTCTGATTGGTTAAGGGTTTTCCTGCAGATGAAGAAAGCTGTCAGCCCTGAAAACAGGTCAGGCACTAAAGAGGTGTAGATTTCAAGCTGTTGCAAATTGTCCAGTAGCCCTTCTGTTCCACTGCTGTCCAGAGGGAAGCAGGGCTGGGGTGTAGCTCAGTGCAGAGCTGGGGGCCCTGTGGTGCAGAGCCACTGGCTCGGGTGAGGCTCTCCACGTTGTCCTCTCTGCTGCTGAAGGGAAATGAGAATGAAGTTAAGTGGTCTGAAAACTTGAATCGTTCACATTTCTCAGCTCTGGGGGTCATTTACCAGTTCATTGTAGAACAGATAATCAGGTAAGTAGAAGTTCATTTCCAGCGAAGGTAAACTCCACTTACCATCTCTGCATGGTTTCAGTGGGAATTGATTATCAGTAATCCCCGACTGAGAGAAAAGAAAGTAAAGTTTGGCCTTTATAGAACAGAGAAAGGCATCGAGAACACATGTAAAGGAATGGTAGAAAAGGAGCTGCAGATGTGCCCTGGCTCTGACATGAAGTATTCCAGTGTAGTTTCGTCTCTTTTCACTAAAATTCACTTCCACTGAAACCTTTCTTTAAAGATGGGTGGGTGCGGCATGTGTTCACACCAGCTGCATGCATGTGCACGCTTGACCTTCCACTTCACGCTTCGGCTGCTGCACGAACGACACACACACCTTGCTGCTCACCTGAATGTCGCTCCCGAGAGCTCCCTTCTACTTAAGTGCAATTTGAAAGTGGACGTGAATTTTGGAGAGGCCTTTCACACTTGTCCCACGGCTCACTTCTTTCTCACACATCCTCACCGCAGAGAGGGGCTCTGGAGCTCTGTTAACACATAATAAAGCCTGGCACTCATAACTTGTTTTGGGGGGTTGTTTGCTTTGTCTTGGTACAGTCTAAAGCCACAGAGGGGGAGGTATGCACCCTTCGGTGTCTTCTGAAAACATCATCTGAAGCGCTATCGCCAGTCTTCTCGTGTGTGTGGAAACTGTGGGGTGGGAGTGTGGGTGAATACTGGAAATAATTAGGGCTGTGTTCTCTTTCCTAGGATGGGATTAGATTCCTTGGTATTGTTGAGCTTAGCATCTTCCTTCTGCCTTCCATGGTGGTACCTGGTAACCCAGGAGTGGACACAGTCCAGCCTGGAGGGTCAGCCAGGGTGCTAAGGCAGACACGGGCTGTGGGTGCTGCCGCAGGACTGGCCATGTCCACAGAGCTCACTTGCACTGGGTAGTGGCGGGGCTCATCTGCCCACAGTCCCAGCATGGTCCGTCTAAGACAGCAGCCACCTCAGGGCAGCGATACAGACAGCACACGAGCCCTGGGCTCCCACCGCTGTCCTAGGGGAATGAAACTGAGCTGTGCTTTAGTCTTCTCCAACCTGTAGTTTGTTCGCAGCATCCAAATCCTTGGAGGTAAAGAGAGAACAAAGCATGATCGTGGCTGCCTCGTTTCAGGCAGAACTCGACTCCACTGACATGGAGAAACCCAGTCTAAAGCCCCCTGGGGGCAGTGACACCAAGTGTGCTTCACAGCGCCCGCTGGGCGGGGCAGTGTGTGGGTGAGTGTGACCCCACCTTCCTCCTGGGAAGCCGGTCCTCCCGAGAGCACCAGACAGCCTCAGATGGCCTGGCTGCAGGGCGCCTCGGGAGCCTCGTGGCCGCCCTCCTGTGCCCCCCGGAGTCCCGACCGCTCTGACTTCTGTGACTGTTTCAGTGATGTGTAGTCTGCCGTGTGTTCACAGCCTAGGACCATGGTGATAGAGTGTGTTCTGGTTTTTTAACTTCAGAAAAGTTACTTAAATGACAAATGCGTGATTAAAGTGCATTTCCTAAGTGTGTTTCTCTTCCCTAAGTGTCTTGTCTGCGCCAACGTGAGGAGGGCCGTAACTGTCTGTGAACCTGCACAGATGCACAGCAGAGCTAAGACCTGCTGAGACAGCCAGCCAGGGCTGGAGACGCGCTGAGTCAGCTCCCTGCGGTGCGCCTTGTCGGCACCACCACTACAGCCCAGCCTGAACCCAGAGTTGAAGTCCCTCTGCCGGTCGGGAGGTGAGAAGATGTGTTTCCCTGCTTCCCCTTGGATCCATTAGAGGCCAGCGTGCTCACCTGGCTGTGGAGCCTTTCCAAGCAGCTCGGGCTCGGGGGAACGGCAGCCCCTGAGCCCCTTCCCCCTCGTGCCCACCAGGCGGAGCAGCCAGGCTGAAGGCCATGCCACAAAAGGCCTCCTCCTTTCCTTCGCCTCCCCACCGTGGTGTCGCAACAGGTCCTTGCAGAACTGACTCCTGGCTGCTTCACACTGGGCTGCGGTGCCAGTGGCCCTGCCCGGGTGGCCAAGCTCCCTGTTTGCATCCTAACTGTCCCTGGTTCTTGTGGTGCAGGCTTTGGCAGTGTGCAGCCCCGTGCAGAACTGGCACTGCAGCTGGAGAGAGATCAGAGCATTAGGTAGACCCTCCCTTTTGCCAGTGAGGAAACAGGAGCGAGAAAAGGGACCCAGCTGGGCATGGGGGTGCACACCTGTAATCTCAGCACTGGGGAGGCTGAGGCAGGAGGATCGCCCTGCGTTTGAGGACAGCCTAGGCTACATAGTTCAAGAACAGCCTAAAAAAAACAACAGCCTACACTACATAGTGAGACCCTGTCTCAAAAAAATAAAAGGGACCCACATTAACCAAGACCACCCTGGTGTCTGCTCCCTAACAGGCCTCACCCCAGAGGTCAGCTCAGGGCACTGTGCAGCCACCAGCATCTTGTGCTGGGCTCCAGAGCACAGGCCTGAGGCTCAGGGACCTCTCAGACCCGGAGGACAGCCCTGCAGTCCCTGTTCCCACGTCCAGGCTGGGCCTGGGACCCCTCCCCCCTTAAACCTATAGCTGTGTGCCATGGGCAAAGAAGAAGGGGAGGAGACCTCTTTCTTCTGATTGGCCCTTGCCAATTAAGAGCGTTTTATTAGGCTGCTAATTAAAGGCACTTTGTTAGCAGCAGGAGGGGCCGGGTGGGTGCCTGGTGTGATGGAGCCAACACCAGGAGAAATTGTTTTCCTCCCCTATGGAAGCACAGCCTCTCGGAACTTTGGTCCCCAGCCTCTCCCGCTGCGCCTGCCACACCCCTTGCTTTCAATTAGCAGCTCCGAGGGGAGTGGGGTCGTTACTGAGTCGGCCTAGGCCCACCGCCAACGCCAGCGCAGGCCTCCGAGGCCTTCCCACGGCCCGGGTCCCCAGGCACCCCGTGTGGCCGGAGGAGGGCGAGGCCTCCCCAGCTGCTGTTGCTGTGACTGCCGGCTGGTGCCCCAGACCCTCCCCAGCACCCACCCAGCGAGCCCGTCATGGTCACACTGAGTCTCCCCTGCCCACACCTTCCTCAGCAAAGGCCCCTGACCTTGTGGGACAGGCGGTCCTGTCCCCAGTCACTGTGCGGGTCCAGGAGCCCATTCCTCCAGCTCCCCGACGGGGGAAGAGGGCAGCCTCCTTGCAGCCCGGCGCACGGGGGCTGGCACGGCGCGCTGGGTCGCGAAGGACACCTCCTCTCCGCGCCCTCCTCACCCCTCACTTAACTGCAGAATTAGCACCGGCTCGGGCTGGGCAGGCAGATTTATGGCAGGGCCTGCCTCCCTCCATTTAACCCGAGGCCGGCCTGGGCTCCAGACACTAAATTAGATTTTTGACAATTAGAGAGACTAATGGGCACACAGGCATCCCCGGAGCCAGATATCAGGCAAGGCCGCCCTGCAATATCCACTGCTGGCCGGCCTGCCGCCCGCAGCCCGCCCCCTGGCTCTCCTTGGGTGGGCGCTTCTCCCCTCCAGCACAGCCCTTGTCATCCTGCGCTGGGGCCTCTCCTTCCAGTCTTGGCTCCGGGACTCTGCCCTCTCTGCTTCCTCCCGGCCTCGGGTCTCTCCTGCCCCCCGGCCTGTCCCCATCTAGTCTGCCCAGCTCCCCTGAGCAGACTGCAAGCCACTTGAGGACAGGGCGGGTGCCCACTCGGGGCCCTGATGTTCAGCAGCTCCCCCCTGAGTCTCGGCCCGCCTGGCCCGGCCCATCCCTGTGGCCCCTCGGCTCTGGCCAGGCTGGGCCGGCCGTGATGAGACTGCAGTAAGTGGCGTTGGGGGTGCTGCTCACACTCACTCAGGCAGACTCATAGCTCTGTCAGGCTGATTGGTCCTGAGTGGAAGCGGAAACGGCCCCCCACGGACACGCTGAGATTGGTTATAAAATTACAAGCATTTGTTCTGCTGTCAGTGTCCTTCCTCCCTCCCCTCCGCTGCCCGCCCAGGCTCCCCTCCACCCGCCCCAGCCTCTCACCCTCCCCTGTGGTCAGCCCACACACCCCAGGACCTGGCCGGGCGCCACAGCCGAGCCCCCAGTCAGGGCAAGCCTCCCCGCCTCAGCCCTCGGCCAGTCCCGCTCCATCTGCCTCAGAGTGGCCAGACTTGGGCAAACAGGCCTCCGGCTCCTCAGCGAGAGGACGCAGTGTCCCAAGGCCCAGGCCTCCCTGGGACCACAAATCCACAACTTGGGGCCAGGCAGGGGCTGGCGAGGGAGAGCTGTCCAGGGGAGCCCACCTCCGCCTCTCCAGGTGGCCAGGCTGCTGCCCTGCGCTGACCCCGCAGGACGGACGAGTACGCCTGGGAGCGTCCCCGCCGGCAAGCTGACCCCGATTCGATTCGCCCTGCAAGGCCCTGGCCCTGAGGAGCAGTCCGGTCCCCCTCACGCGGCCGCCTTCCTCTCTGGAGGCAGAGTGGGGTGGGGGCCCAGCGCAGTCAGCTCCGATGAGCGCGCCACCGCTCACTGTTCACCAGCGGATCAGCCCCTGCTTGCCGCCGCCCCCCTGTCCAGCACCGACGGGTCTAGGGGCTGCGAAGGGTGCTGGAGAAGCAGGGCCCCTCCCCCTGGGTCCCGGGCGGGCATGGGGGCTGCACAGCCGGAAGCTCCACCCAAGGAGGAAGCCCCTGCCGCCTGAGGCTTCCCAGGGCCTGCCTGGACCCCAGGCCTCCGCCCGGGGTCCCGGCATGAGGCTGCGGGTCTCTGCGTGGCCACTAGATGTCTCTGCTGCTCGCCGGCCTGGCGCGGCCTCCCCCAGACTGCCTTCCGCGGGCCTGCACTGGCTCACGTGGCCTTCAGCTGTGTAACCACCTTGGGCCTCACCCTGGTGGCCTGCAGGAGCTGACAACACCCCAAGTTTCAGCTCTCAGCCGGGGCTCACATTGGGCGATCCTTCACCACTGCCCTGAACTCACCAGGGTCTCTGACCAAAGTGGGGCCTCTACCGGGGCTGAGAGCCCAGGCCAAGGTGTCGGGCGGCCACTCCCTGACTGAGCAGATAGGCCCATATGAGGGGCATCCGTGCTCCTCGCTGAAGGCCATGTGATGGAGGCTGGGGTGCACATCGAGGCCAGGAAACTCGAGGCTGTGGGGCTAGAAACTGGCCTGGGTCCAAACCCGGTCTGGCACCTACTGGCTGTCACTCTGGCACGTTGCCTGACCTTCATTTCCTCCCATGGAATAGGGCTGGGACAGCTCCCCGCCACACACGACGGCCACCCCGATCCACTTCTACATGAAGGGTCTAGGGAAAAGGCAGCTGAGCCCACTTCGTTTTGTTTTCGTTTGGGGGTTTTTTGGTATCAGGGCTCGAACTTGGGACCTTGCGCTTGTGAGGCAGGCACCGGATCCACTGAGCTAAATCCCGGCCCTGGTTTTGGTTTCTTGAGACAGGGTCTCACTATGTAGTTCAGGCTGGCCTTGAACTCGCAGGAATCTGGGATTACAGGCGTCCACTGCCATGCCCCGATTGAGCCCCCTTTGGCTGGACCAGTGGGCACCTGGAGCTGGGAAATCCACCCCCGGTTTGAGGGGACCTTGCCAACTACATGCTCTGCTGGGCAGTGGGGGCCAGCAGGGCTGTAACAAGGGTGGCATAGGACTGGGCGCAGTACAGCCAGGAATGGCAGCGTCCCTCCGAGGCTGGGGGCCTGTCCCCAGGGCAGGCAGTCTGGCCCTACAGCGAGGGAGCGAGTCTGTGCCTTATCTGCTGGGGGTGGCCTGGGCCACAGCGGGCTGCCGAAAGGCTTCGGGAAGGGCGGGTGGAGGCCCGGTGCATGATTATGTGACCCCACACGGACGGGCCCGGCCCCGGGGTGGCCCTCAGCACTCCTCCCTGCCGAACCCTCTGCACCCTACAGCCCCTCCCCCGGGTGACGGGGGGCCTGGTGGGAGGGCTGAGCCATACCTAGCGGTAAGTATGTGCAACATTACATATGTATATTGGAGAGTAAATAACCCCAAAAAGCGCCTTGTAAATAGACTCCGAGTTTATCCTTTATTAATGAGGCACCGAGTGCCCCGCTGTTTTAGAGCAGCGAGACTTTCATAATATCAAAACCTAAATTACACTTGCGGCTCTCTTCCCGAGCACCTCGGCTCCGCTGCAGTGAGTAAGCAGGAATTCCTCCCCGCCTGGGCTTTGCTCACACCTCTGTCCTGGCCGAGCAAGGGTGGGAGGCCGTGCACGAGCGCACACTCACACTCACGCCCAGCCCGAGGGTCCCGAGGCCGAGGCCGGGCCCTCCCCTGTAGGAGCGGAGGGCGTGGTGTCCCTGACCGCCCAGGGCGGCGCCCCGAGGCCCGGCGCCGGTGCTTTCCGCGGCGGCTGGCTCCTCTCTGGGACCGGACGCCTTCGCCTGCTGCTCAGTTCCGGAAGGGACCTCGCGTGGGCCGCAGACGCCCAGCCCGTCCTCCAGCCGGGTCCAGGCCGAGGGGACACCGCCTCCCACCTCTCGTCCCGACGTCCTGCCGAGGCCGGCCCTCCAGCGCCGCCCCCAGACTGAGCCTGCAGGC